AATATTGCAGTTATGTGGTTGGGGGTTCGTCTTCTTCTCCTTCCATTCTTGATCGTATTTAACGAAAGGCCATCCGGCTAATCGATGATCCTTCACTAACATTTAGTCTGCAGAAACTAACCCATCATCGAGCAGTTGCTGCATTCTGCCTGCTCTACCGTTACTACTCTATTTGTTTAGAGCTTGCCTCAGCAGTGCCTCTTCCTACAACTTTTATCCTGCCATCTAGTACACAGGCTTCTAGTAAGTCTTATCGCATTTCAGTCACTAAATTCCGTACTTCTCAATTTCAATATTTTTTACACAGAAGTGCCAAGTTATGAAACACCCTTCCACTCTCTGTCCTTCCACTTTAGACGCGGAATCCATAAACTGGATCTTAAGTGAATGTTCCCCTACTCTCAATTTTAAAGTACGCTCCTTGTCTACAGCGGTTTCTCCTTTTGCTGTTACTCAGGTCTTATAAAAAACTGATGAGTAGAAATTTCAGCTGTAGTGCATTGGCACTTCTGCCCGATGAAAACCGTGATTACAACTTACTGATCTACTCACATTATCCTCCACCTGAATCATGGTGCATCTAGTGAAGAAAGTTGACCGTTTTGTTTTGATCTTCCGCTTGCTAACAAACTGCGGTATATTGCGTTAGTGTTCGTTTAGCTCTGCTTTATGGTTGCGAGACCCTGATTTTGCGAGCAAAAGATATTCGTCGACTAGAAGTTTTCGATCATCGGTGTTTACGCAGTTTAACCCACGTTGGATGGAGCGAACGGGTTAGTAATCTGGAGGTAACCCGTCGTGTGTTTGAGAGTCTATCAGGTATAAACCTGCTAGCACAACGAATTCAGATTACTAGGCTTCGCTGGCTAGGGCACGTATGGCGTATGTCCAGCCATCGTCTGCCGCACCGCGCTTTATTCGCTGTAGCTAATCCGGGTTGGAGGAAACTACGTGGAGTTCAATAGATGACGTGGAGACGAGGCATGAAGAAATGCACAGAGCCATTAGGTAGAGTAGGTGTCTCTCGCCTTCCAGGTTGGGGTCCGAAAGACTCTACAACTGGTTGATTGGAGACATTGAAGGATATGACAGCGAACTGAGAGCAGCGGGGTTCTTGTTGTCGTTTCTTATCAGGTCAGGATGCTTGAAACGCTATGTATGCAGAATTCGATTGCGTACTGTGTGTGTTGCCCACAGTGGTTCACTCTCTTCTCCCTCCCTCAAAGTAGGTCTTATTCCTGTTCACCTTAAATTTTATCACTAACCTTGTACGCATTGCGAGTTTGGCACCAATCAGCGAAGTTCGCTTTACTGTGTTTCGCTGTACGATAATGAAGATGATGAAGAGACGGTAACAAAGTACACTTTGTTTGGCTGAATGCGTCAGATCGGAGCTTTTAGGGACATGAGAAGAACCCGAGCGTCTCAATCTGCCGAAGTGAAAATTGGAAGCTTCAATCGTTAAATTATACAGAGAACGTCTTCAAACCACATCAGTGCAGAAGGGAACAAAGGCATTCAGAAAGGAATCAGTGACTACGGAGGAGTCGATAGGCTTTGCCAGATAAAGGTGCAAATGAAGCACAGATGAATTTACTGCTCAGCGGTGTTTCTGATCCGGTGCATCACCATGTATTACATTAATATTTCTCACGCTACCTGGAGCAAAAATTCTCTGGTATATGATCAGGTGTGGACATACACGCAATGATTGAGCTTTTATTCAAGGACTAACCTGTTCCGTGACCACTGTTGCTAACAATTATCCTACCTACAATCATCGAATCATAGTATTGAATCACAAATGGATTGATTCTGAAAGAGCTGTCCAAACAAATTTACCATGGGGTTATGCTGACGGAAATACACTTCCTGAGTACATGTGTGTGAAGTCACAAAATATTACCGGATACACATGCCTGATGAGCGGCAAGAACCATGAAACCGGTTGTGTACCTCCAGAGTCATTTATTCACGACTCATTGTTTGTCTGTCGCGGCGCTCTACTCCACGATCAGTACTACGTTCGAACCGATGGACGCAGAAATAGACCACCAGAAAATAAAAGGATTCTTACAACCTATGAGCTCTTGAACAGCAACGGATGAAATTAAGGGCCTTAGGGTCAAAATGAAAAATCTAGCAGTATCACTGAGTGGAATATACTTCATCTCCGATTTTGGTTGAGCTTTAACTAAGACTTACCACTGAGACATGCCTGATTAACCTGAGGTCTCAGATTTCATCCTGAGTTAGATCGGCACATTCGCACTGCTGATGAGACCTTATCAGGTCTAAACAAACGTAAAGTTCTTCCCAGTTTATTAGTCCAGGCTGCATTTGATCTGTATACGACGAAATTCACTAAATAATCGGATAAATGTTAGATGAAATGGGATCCGTTAGCAGTGCAATAATCTTATTCGGCCAAATAAACAGCCCTGGATTGGTGAATGTCTGGATCATGGAGATTTTTCAAATACCACTGATTTCGGTTAAACGGACTGAATTTTGGCATAAAGACACTAATCACGAATCGAGAAATAAAAGCCAAACCCAAGGCACGACAATATAAATTGGATTGGAAAATACAGGAGTATGAGGAATCATTCTATCGAATAAATCACTCACTTGAACTGTCAGACTGGTGCGCAGGTTATTAGTGTCAGCAGTAAACTGGTCACACAACTTTTGCAGTTGATCACAAAAGGGGAGAAAAATTTGGTCGCAACTACTCCGAGCATCTTCTGTTTGATCTTTGACGAAATCACGCATCTTATGAACTGCATCCAACCAATCAGCAGAAATGCGATCTACGAAACTCTGTTTCAGTGCTTCCTGACGTTGAAGTAACAGCACGGTAGTCTGTTGTTCCTTCACTCTAATATCGGCTGAATGGTTAAAAACAGAAATAACAAACGAATATAATTGAACAAAGCGATGAAAACGTAGCACAGAAACAGAAAACGGATGCATGATTTAAAAACGTGAATGTTTAAAAGAAAATCAAATTGTTGCCGTCATGAAACTGGGATTACCAACAAGTTTCAGCGTAAACTCTGATAAGGAACCGGAAATGTCTATAAACCCAGCCTCGGGTTAAGCAGAGCTGAATGCTACCAGGCGCGTCCCCGAGTTGTGAATAGGGGGATACCTTCACAGAAGGTTAGCTGTGAATAAGTTGTGGCATACCGCTACAAATAAGCAGTCGCGAACAAACAGCGGTGGCACTATCAGGGTGTGGTGGGTTTCAGGCTAGTCACCTGGCTACTGTTTAAAAGCCGCATAAGCCCAATGACGGCATCGTGACAAGGTCGATGCGACTGGCCTTTTAAAACGAAAGCCATTGACCCCCTCACTTTCGAGGCGAGGGCTTACTTCCTGCAGCCTTGCAGTTAGCACTTGGTTGTGCAAAGGCTAGAGGAGCGCCCTCAAAATAAAACACGCCGAGTGACGCTGGAGACATCTCTCGTACCAAACTCCCAAGGAACGTCATGATCATGATCATGTCTAGAGCTGGCTTATCATTGCCAAGGAGCCAGCCGCAGTAAAGTAAAGTAGTAAGTATAAACCCAACGTTAGAAAATTTAAATCATCAAAAATATATAGCCTGAGTAAGTGTCGAGATTTCGCATTGAAATTGTATTAAAGGTAGCACAGAATTCAGAATCACCAAACACATAATGGAAAAATGTAAACATCATCGAAAATAATAAAACCATAATGATTCACCAATTTCGGCTTAGATAGATGTGTGAAAGTGCCCATGTGAGGTCAGTGGAATACGTGAACGATAACTTCCCAAATTGGCACCAGTGATCGCCGATGCAACACCACCGCAATTCCGGGGTACTGAGCAGGCCGACTAACCGATTGTGACGAATACGCCCATTTAGTACGCAAGATACGACAAATCATGCATGAACAAATGTCTCTTGTAATCCAAGTTTTTATCTGAACAACCTCCTCACAAGTTGGATGAGAAAATATTAGAAAGTAGTTTTCAACGAGCGTCATCACGTGAACTAACAAAATCAAGTTATTCGCTTCTCCGGATGTTGTATTGAACTATCAGACAGCAGTAGTATTTGGTTTGGACAAAGGTTCTTATTAAAAGACGATAAATATACAACTAAAACTGGATTCCAAACACAATGAGACATGTTATGTCCATTCTGAGGTTAGGGTCAGGTTCAACACTTACATAAAGTGGTGCGCAGCCACTGACAAAAATCACTACACATATTCTGTAAATTGGTCAATCCGGATATTGGTTCTTCTAACTGCTCCTTAGTCCAAACGGATGGTAATGTAGTCAGACGCTCACGATTGCCCGAATCGATCAAGGCTAAGGTGTCGAGTTTTGCGTGCAAACTGGTTAGATCATTGACTGCGGTCTTCGAAGTGGTTAGGAGATACTCAGCTTGTCCGTGGAGAGCATCTTCCGTTTTTTGGTGTTCCCGACGCAGATGTTCCTCCTCTTCGAGGCGAATGCGGGTTTTGATCAGACGAAGACGAAGTTTTTCCTGGAAGAAAGTGAAATGTTTCATCCAGAAAACAGAAACAAAAAGAAAGTTGTTTTGCAGCGTCAAAAGTGGTTGTATATATCTTAACTCACCAAATTAGCTTGGCAGGCTAAAAGTTCGCTCTCTATCAGGTTCCGACATTCGCGAGATTCTGCAAGCTCCGCTTGAGCTAGCGAAAACACTTCTTGAAGTTGACCCAAGTCATATTCAAGTATTTCACGTCTTTCTTCCAGATCGCTGATGTGCAAAAACGGGAGATATATTGGTTATCGACAAATTATTGCATGGGCAATTTTATCAAGATTACTGAACGGGGAATACCCGAGTAGAATTTCCGTTAATGCAGAAGTGATTGCAGGGTTTGTCTCTTGGGGCCTCTGATGAAGAAATCCTAACCATTGAATGCCCTTGGACGAGTTTAAAACTCATCGATGCCTTCGTAACCCCGATTCCGGACAAATGACTAGACTGTGATCAACCCCATATAAACCGCACGTTTCTAGCTTTCTCAATCCACCCATGGTCGGCATTACGCCTAAGGCTTTGTATTGCCTGCAACTGTCTTCTAACTGGGGTCGTTGGAATACGCATTGTGGGACCAGGCTCAATGATAGTCTGACAGATACAACAAAATGGTGGCAGAAAATGCGAAATTTTAATACATTTTTCGGCAGTTCGGTTCCAACACCTGTTAATGCGTCAATAAAAACAGATGGAAGCTCAACTGAAACTGACTGAATAATTGACGCAGCGGATCAACTTGCAAACACCAGACCCCATTTCGCGTGAGTTTAACTCCAGCTCTACGGAAATGCTCCCCGGCCCAATCATTGAATTCAACTATGATTCTGAAGCTGGTCACACTTTCGAGGCATGGTTTCCAAAGCTGAGAAGACATGTTCCGAACATATTTCAGCTGTCGCTCATTGACCGATGATCAATTTAACTTTTTTTTTATCAGAGCATTGCAGAATCCTTTTTACTATCCAGACTTGATCAGGACCCGGATATGGACCTAAAGTCTCTCATGACCGACTGCAAACGTCTTCTCTCGCTGAAGTATGACACTACGTTGGTCGAACAGAAGACTTTCATAGGTGATGTTCATTCAATGGAATGATCGAAGAATCAGCCATCTGTGCGGAAATTCAAAGCCTCGAAACGCCCCCGAAACCACCCTATGTTTGTTGGTCGTGTGGAGAAAAGCAGTATGTAAATTTCTGTCCCGTTCGTAACACAATTAGCGCGAATGTTTATCGATCGACGTAGTCTATGGAGCCCATTTATCTTTTAACATTAGACAGTGGTGTACAGAAGTAAACACGACAGTAGAAGACAAACACTGACCATGTATCTGACTCATACCGTTCCCGATATAAGGAGAAGAAAAATAATCTATACAGCGACGATGTTTGTTTTTGTTTCTATAACTGAAGGTTTGTTTTTCAAACGTAAAAATATTTTCTTGATTTACAACTCACCTTATTCGGGCACGTTGCTGTACAATCTGCGATTGCATGGCTTGATAGTTCTCTTCATCAAGAAAAATGCCTGTTTTCGTCCGAGTCGCTTCTAAATCACGCCTCAATCGCTCCAGTTCTTCGTTATAGCTTCGAACGAGATCCATTTTATTCAATTTAGCATTAATCTCTGGACGATTTTGAATGTTCTTGGCACGATGGGCGTAATCCAAGGTAGATAGTGTTTCTTCCAAACAACTTGCACTTGGACCAATTGTAGCGATGATGGACGTTTTTGTCCTCCCGCCGAGAGAATCCTGCGCCGAAAAGAAACGAATCAATCACTTCACAGATGACCGAGTGCATTTTTACTGTATAACAGCTTACTGTGACCAATGGTAGGAGTGACACCAAGTGTCACAAAGACCCACGGATTGGTTCGGGGAACCGGTAATATACACCCTTGAGTTAATTGCCCATGGATAGTGAAACCTCGTAGTCCTGGGCTTTGGGTTTTCGAACTCTCGCTTTGGTGAAAACACCGGCACTAAAGGAATCAGTCGGTCAAACTTCAACAGCAGATGCTTCAAAGGAAGCACTTCATGAGGCGAATAGTGGCTCTCTAACCACCCTGGATCTTTATCTTGAATTTACTTCTTTTTACTGAAGTATATAATGACACCACTTTCAGGAGGGAGGAAGCGGACAATCAAAGGGCATGCAGCACATAGTGAATGAGGAAAGTCATGCGATGGTGGTGGAATTCGAACGAAAACCCTCAGGGACAATAATTTAGTGATCTTCACGGCTTGACCACCACCGTTGGAGGTAAAGGAGTTCTTAAGGAAATAACTCCACGATTTTGTTGAAAGTTCGTTCCAAGAAATAAAGGAAAATAACTCTTGAATCGGCGAAACAAACAGAATCCAAGTGTTTCGGGTGAAGTTGTTTTCCCTTCGAAATAGTCTGGTCTTTCGTCATACGAGATGTCACCATGGTTCCCAGATAGCCGTTATTAACACCAATTAGTGTAAGAAGAGATATCGAATTGCCGCTTAAGCCGGCTGGCCCACAGAAATGCCTTGGTGTTAATAAAATTGCGGCCAACAGAAGAAAGCCCGTGAAGTTGGAATATAACGACCCAACTAGGAAAACTTAGTATGTCTATTGCAGCCGACTTTCACGTATAAAAATGAAAAAGGAATTAGGAAAGAATATTTCAGCACATTCAAAGCCACCACTACCGCCCAATTTAAAGGGTAGGCAACTTTGCAAAATAGCATATCTAAGTGACTATGGGGTTCACCCCATCTAGTGTTCATAACAAAAAATGTGTATCAAAATAAGTTACTCTCTTTTCACGGTAAAGTGACCTGTTAACCAGCAAATTGCCCCGTTAGGCTCCTGGGCTGAGGACCTCGGGATGATGGTTACCGACTGTTAGATACACTGAGTGATATGGCTAGATGTCGCAAACAGTGGCGCTCGTGCATTTCCTCATTATTCCCCTAACACCATTCTATATGAATTCTCCATCTTGCTTTCAACATTCCAATCTTCTTACTACTCTTTTATCCAAATGGGCAACCAAAAGACAGCAACCAAAACGGGCGCACGAAAGTGCATAGTTAATGGTTGTAAAAACTGAACTGAACTAATTGGAGCGCTATGGCAAACAGAAATTCAGGTCCTGAGATTTGGCGGCGAGTCACAATGAATTATAACAGGATAATAATTATAATTATAATTACAATAGGTTTGGTTTAAGTCGAAAGACAGCGAAGTCACCACTAACTTTGAGTAGCGGTGGCAACATTAAAACCCTGGAGCTCGAAGCTCAAAGTACTCAACCAATCGACTACCGAAATCACTGATGGGAAATCCTACCAGATTTCGTACGTCAACGCAGTATTACGCCAACTAGCAAATCAAGGACGGGTTTCGAACCCCGGATCATACGGTCCGACGGTGACAGCGACTTAACCACTGCATTGCCACCACAGTGTGCACTGCGATTTTCCTGGGAATTAATGATATATAAAAACAAGACGATAAAAATAACTTCCAGCTACCAGTATGAACTGTCGAGGTCAAACCTATATTAGACAAAAACCAAAGTTACCTGAAGTAATCTTGTCAGTTTGCTCTCGCGATACGGTATGTGGGGTGCATGGTCAACAAGGGAAGTTATAACGCGGCCAAGAGTTAAGAGGCTTTGGTTTATTGATCCAGCCTCACGAGCTCGTTTCTCAACTGCACCGGATCTTCCAACGCATTCACTTCCGGCGAGATCGACTAGATGTAGTTTTCCAATACGTAAAAGTTCCTCGCCAGTAGTTGAATTTAGTTCTTTGATGTGGACAGTAACAGTGAAAATCGAATGCGAGCGGCTTTCAGTAAAAAGTAAAGTGACTGGTAAAACTGAACATTTACCTCGATTGAGAATTCAACAGCGTGGATGCAGTTTGCCTTCGGGCCAAACCTCTCTCGATCACTGAATGTACATTCTCTTTGTCGAGAACCACAATCTCGCGTAGGCCCTTCACAATCACCGAACCTTTGCGATTTACATCATCATAAATTGTGAGGCGTTGGTTCTCGGCCAGTGAGAGGAGATCAAACAGTTCTTCATTGTACACTTCTAGAAAGGAAACGCGAACAGAAAAATCGGAACCCTTAAATAAGAATGAATATTGTTAACATGCACTGTCATACCGTCTTCTCCAAAGTGTCAAATAAATGACTGAGGGCTCTCGGAATAATACCAACCAGAGGATCATCCTCCCAGGCGTAGCGAAGTTTATCGGATCTCTCTCCGGTCATTGTGAACGTTTTTCCACTCCCCGTTTGTCCGTACCTAATAATGACAGCAATCTTCTTTCTGGCGAACAGAACTCACGCAAAGATGGTGCAATTATATCCCATAAGAATTTCATCAATTAAGGGTGCAACCATTGTATTATACACATCCAGCTGTTTCGAGTAGGGACCAAAAACATGGTCAAACGTGAAAACTTTTGAGTTGATTCTCTCTCTGACGGTAACTTTATCGCGAGTGCATTCGATACAATTTACTGCACCCTTCTCTTTCTCCGAATTATTCATTGGACTGAGAGTAAAGATATAGCAAGGGAATCGCTTACCGACAACGGACAGCTACTCGAATGTTTTGTTCGGCCATTGCACCAAACCTGTAGAAGTAGAAAATTCGAGGTCATAAGAGAATTGTTACGGATAGACGCACGGTACAGCGCGAAAAAATGAATTAACGTTTGACGAGATGCTAAACTGAATGCATCATTCTGAATGGATGCTGTGAGTGGTGTGGTTGAAAACTTGGTCAACTGAGAAGCGTGCATAAAAAAATTAAAGAATTTTGAAGGAACGTGAACTTTCTACTTTCCTGATAGATGATGGTTCGTCATCGTGAATATCTCGGATGGAAGCCTTTTAGGGTGTTCACTGTAAAGCTTTTTCGTCATAGAATAAGGTTTTGAATACTGACGTGCATCACTGCTTGTTTATCGTATTTTACTGTATTCATATCTCTTTTACACCTTTTAGCCTTAATGCCAGCGTTTTTAGATAAAGCCCTGCATCCCTGGGCTGCGTTTTCTCTCTTAAGCTATCAATAACTGTTGCCGTCTCGTCATATTCTGA